GCGCTGAAATGTCAAGCAGAGCCTGCAGCCCAGGTGTCGGAGGCTGCTCGCCGAGGACATGTTGCCGGGACCTTTCGGGGTTGGGTTTAGGGTTTAGGGTTTAGGGTTTAGGGTTTAGGGTTTAGGGTTTAGGGTTTAGGGTTTAGGGTTTAGGGTTTAGGGTTTAGGGTTTAGGGCATTCAGGTTTTTGAGTTGCTGGTTTCGGGGCAGGGTTGTGGGTTCAGGGTTTCGGGATATAGGGTTCAGTGGTTAGGGTTTCAGGAATCAACCATTACCAACTGTCAACCCTTCTCGGTGCCAAAATTAGAAAATTTCAGGCAAGGGCTTGCCGGTTTCCAGGATGTTGATATGTAGGGTGTCAAGATGCGCAGCACAACGTGTAATATGATAAAATATGCATAGCCAGAGCAGTCGCCAGACGTTGAACAAGCATCGCATGTTCACGGTGTCTGTTTGTTATCATCATCGGGCCGAGGATCGCAGTCATCATTATCGACACCACCATCGGCCACCAGCACAGCAGCAGCAGCAGCAGCTGCAGCTGCTGCTGACTAATCGTTCTCATCCCCGCCATCATTGGCATCATCATTATCATAATCATAATCATCGCCGGTGACAACATCGCCAATATTGATCTTGCAGCCATCTTGATCGTCACCAGAAGCTTATGCGCCACCACCGAAGACAACACGATGAGGGCAACATCAGACTGACCAAGGACCTGATTCACGGCGACATTCTCCACCACCTGACGCTTCTTTCGGATGTCCATTTGGCCTCGCACCGAGCTTCCTCTCAGTTCTCCGTATGATGGAGGCCTCGAGCGCACCCGCTCGCTTTGACACTCAAAGTCCAAGTCTTGACTTGCAGAGTTCTTCTGTCTGGTGCTTAGGAGGGAATGGGGGAATGGGTTATAGGGACTACTATAAGGGACCTTAAGGGACTATCATAGGGATCCATTCCCCCATTCCCTACTAAGCACCAGACAGTCTTTCATCAATGAAGTTGCAAGTGTTTGCATTCGAGGGGTGGTGACCGGGGTGATTCACTTGGGTGCCCAAAGAACTCAATGTGGCGAGGACTGATACGGGATTCGGCGTTCTGATGTACAATTCGGTATGCCTCCTATGGCCCGGTCGGAGGAGAGTTCCATGGCATAGGCATGATCGTCAGAATCAGAATGCAATCTCCTGTCTGCAACTGCACTGCAGCAAAGCACAGTAACAGAGCAAGGAGTACCTGAACACCGAAGCGATCACGATTGATAAAGCCAAGATTTCCTATGTTTTTAAGTGCAATGGATGTCTCAATGGTTTGTTTTCAGTGAGAGTCCGATCACTTCTCGATACGGGACCAACATCCTTCAGGTTCATGCGGCTGGATGGAACGGTTTCTACGGTCTACACTCAGTTGGCAGATAGAAACCTTGAGATGTACGATCCTTGCGTCAAAGAACCCCCGCCTGTAGGAGGAGGTCAGAAGGTTGAGCCTATACATATATACATAGCACCCTGAAGCAACGACGTTCGAGAACGCTAAGAAGTAGTCCCTAATGCCAGAAACAAGACGCAACTACATGGTACCCGTGCCTTGCGCGGCCACCGGCCGGCAAGCACATGAGCAAGCAACGAGAATCCATAGGTGGGATAAGGGGCCCGTTAATAAGGTGCCTCTTGGGCCCTGGGCCACCAGTAAAGGAGCTGGGAGGTTCCCACGCTGAGATTCTGATGTTCCGTAAAATTCCTTTGCTCAGTCTCATACACAGATGGTTTCAACAAAGGGCCCCTAGTGTGGTCCACTCTCCCCCGGAATCCGGGAAAAATCTAGCTTGCTCTAGCTTTATGTAGCTTTCCCTAGCTTTTCCTAGCTTGGTCTAGCCTGGCCTAGCTTCTCCTAGCCTCATGCAACATGACGTGTGCAAGGGCAGGATACTGCTGCAACCCTATATTTTTCGCCTCACCTTACGCATTAAACTGCAACCGCTGCTTCGGTGATACACCTTCGCATTTAGCTCAGGTGTTTTGTTCATTCTCGGCATGATGGAGTCTAGGATATATTTAGCTTTGGCTAGCTTCTCTTAGCTTCTGGTAGCTTTTGATGGTGTACTTTAGCTTTTCGTAGTTATCCATTGCTTTCTTTAGTTTCATGCAGAACACCAGGAATTACTATGGTTTTCCCGTGGTTTTTCCGCGATGCTAAAGAAGCCCCACATATGCGGGACCCTTATACCCCTATATGAGAGAAGCTGTTCGCATCGTAATTTACAGGTTGTTCGGGCCTGACAGAGCTGGAGTGTTTTAAGAGTGTGGATTTTGAAAACTACGCTGGGGTCTCGCAACAGGAAGGATGGGACAAGCAGCGCAAAGAAAGTACGCTCGTTCACGCTCGAAATCCATGGCCGCTGGTTCTGCTTTGATCCGGAACGACCATGAATCGGTGCCGAAGGACGTCACTATCCCCCGTCCCCACCCCCCGATGCAGTTCAAACATGCTGAACATCAAAGTCCGAAATTCCGAAAGCAAGGAAAGTCCGAAAGCAAGGATAAACCCGAATATCCGAGTATCCGACAAAGAAGAAAGGAAGCCTGAAAGTCTGAAGCCGGATGAGCGGGCAAAGCAGCAAAACCTGGAGGAACAAGCTATGGGTTCAGACAAAAGGCCCTGGAAATGTGGTGGCCGCGCAGATCGCGGGGTCCAACTACATCCTTGAGCTATCAGTACCCAAGCTCCGAAACAAAGCCAAAAACCGGTGCTTGGTATTACATGTTTAGTGTTCAGGATTCACGGGTGTACCGGTTTAGGGTCCTTTAAAAAAACCAAACCCTAAACCCCGGTTCACGGCTGAGGAATTCAGCTGGTGACCGGAGCCCGTAAGTCCAACGAGGAATTAAGGCGCCGTTTGCCTACAAGGAAGCATATACTACATGCACTTTGGCCTCAAAGTCTCGACATGTACCTCGTTTTGAGCAAATGTAAAGTATACTGTATGTGTACACATATGTGTATATAATATTATGATTAGTATTCATATTAATATTAATATCAATATTAATATCAATATTGATATTAATATTAATATTAATATTGATATTAATATTGATATTAATATTAATATTCATATTCATATTTCTATTTATATTAATATTCGTATTGACCTGGGTATTCATATATATATATATACACACACACATACATTTGCGTGCATATATATATATATACCACGCACACCCGTGGAGTTCGACACATGCGAGGTCTATTGGAACAATTTGTGCTTTTCCTCCTCGGAGTCGCGTCTCGTAGTCGAGGCTGTGGGATTCCTGAAGCTTTGGGGTTTAGGGATCAGGGGCATCGGGCATTTATAGAAGTTTAATGATTCAGTGTTTAGGGCTTCGTATCTACAGCCGTAAGATTCTGACATACGTTGCGGGTACACAAACTGTAACAGTATCTGCCAGTACGGAGAGCTTTATTTTGTGCTAGTCAGTCACTTAGGACCATTTCGGAATGGAGACAATGACAAGCTCTCCAAATTTACAGTAGCTGCCTTCGAAAGTCCCAATGACAAACAGTAGAAAGGAAAGTGTAAACCTTGAACCCCCAAGTTGCATTGCCCTAAACCAGAGTCCCTAATTGCATTTTCATGCGTATATACATATACACACACTCAATAGCGGCAGAACAATGGGCTTTAGAGGAGTGGAGGCGGGGGGGCTTCAACTACGGATGGCTGTTTGGAGTGTAATGCTGCAGACCTTTCTGACCTCTCATTGTGTTGAGGTTCATAGTAGATAGTGGTTCTTTACACAGTACAACAGCCATTGTTAAAGGAGGGGTGAGGGTGTTATGCCAGTAGGTTACGACTTTGAAGCCATATAACATGTTTGATGGAAAACCCTCAACCCTAAACTCTAAACCGTGGCTCTACAGCTTTAAACCATGCGCACCTACGTAAACCATGAAACTCCATCTCGAACCGGTTATGCCGAGATCGAAAGCTCGTGTGCCTTTCTGTCCAAGCCAGATAGGTCGCCACCCGTATGCCCAAAGTCTCAGAACCCTTGACCCTTTACCCCAAAAAACCCTATGTCTCAAAACTGCAAAAGCCCTAGGCCGCCCTAATCAAGGTGGGAAGTGGGGATGACCAAGACCGCCTGAATATATAGAAGTCAGACAAAAAACAATTCCTTGAAGGTTCCTGTCATGACTATAAGTGTACTGTCCCGAAGACAATTCTTCTCCTCAGGCCCTAAACCGCCCAAGACCCGTTGGTCTGAAACTCGATTTCGGAAGACCACGGCTTGCCCCGAGGTACGTTTTGGGATTTAGGGCTTAGGGTTTAAGTTCACGGTTTATCAGGGTTCTGAGGTTCGGATGTTTAGGGTTAAGGCTGTTGTTGTATCCAAGCCATGATCCAAAGATGGATAGAGCTTGGGAGGTCTACTTAAGTTCTGCCCGTCCATCCGATCCTCCAGAAGTGCAGTCAACCAGCGGTAAACCCGAATTTCACTCGCCGAAGCTTTTAAATCCTCTTGAATCTTTGATTTAGATCCTGATCCCCCAGGCCCTCCTATGGAAGTTTCGGAGCGTCGAGTGTCGAACCCTTAACCAACAGGACCCTGCATATCGGCACCGCCAGAAAAGGATTCGCAGGTTTGCGGTTCCTAAACCTAAAAGTCTATAAGCCTTGAACCCCAGTGAGGGGAATCTCTGCACCAGCCGTCACTCCATGTTCCACCTGCCCCAAACAAAAGGCATTGCAACTCCCACGTGGAACAACCAGCTCTACGCCCTAGGCTCTGGCCCCTACCGTCATACCCTACACCTGTTTTGAGGGCCCTAGTATTGTGGTTAGTATCCGTTTTGTAAAAAAGCAGATGTCCTAAACCGAGGGTAGGGTGACCCTAAACCTAACCCTAGGCCCTAAACCCTAAACTTATACCCTAAACCCTAAACCCTAAACCCTAAACCCAAAAAAAAAAACTTATACCGTGTGTTTGCAGGCGTTCATGCAGCGAGCCCCTCGAGGCCTTTCGGGAATTTCGCTGACGGAGGGCTCAAAGTGGCAAGTGTGGCTGAAGAAGTCGGGTGGGCTTTCTAGGGTTTTAGGGTTCAGATAGAGAATCGGGTTTGGGTTTAGGGTGTAGGGCTCTAGGGTTTGTTTAGGGTTCAGATAGAGATTCGGGTTTGCGCTAACTAGGGCTTAAGGTTTAGCTTTGTGTTGTTTGGGGGTTAGGGTACCTCGGCATTAGGGGCATTCTCTTTCGGGTTCCATGCTTTGGGTGTTTCGTTGGAGACTCATGCGTACTCGGAGATGCATGCGTACTCCTTTGCCGAAGTTGCTGGAGACCTTAACACAGACCCAACGTGCTAAGAAGGAGTCTTCATGGTTCGTAGGTTTCAGGAGACTTGTATGTTGGCGGGAGGCTTCTGTGAACTTGAATATCATTGATCCTGTTTTCAACAGGCAACCAGTTTCTTCTTTGAGACACTGATCTCCAAATGCTGATCCAACTTATCCCCAAGACCTCTAAACTTGACCTTATATCCTCACAGTTCAGAATCCTGAGCGCGACAAGCCCTGTGAGCTAAGGGCATAGCAGGAAGCCGCCTCAAAATCCACGTCCGACGTGATAGTGATAGTGACAATCGAATCGACTATTCATTGGTACTCACATTAGAGGAAGTAATCAGAAACATGTCCGTTCAAAAGCAGTGCTGGGATCTGAACCCCAAGTCGGAAAATCGATCATCCGAGGGGCAACTCTGGTGACGCTGGCGGAGTTGGACCTGCAGGCTGCTGTAGTTTAGATTTCAGGCGTATGAGGTTTAGGGTTTTAGGGTTTAGGGTCACTGGGCCCAAGGAATCGAAGCCCTACCGGAGTTTGTGGTTTGGGGATTTGGCTTTGGGGCTTAACCGGTTTGGAGCTTATGCTTTGGCGCGTGCTTCGGAAGTGTGCGGCTTGGAGTACGGAGTTCATGCTTTCAGGCTTATAATCCGAGGTTCATGGCTTGTGTGAAGGGATGTTGCCCTACCTGCTCGCAAAGCCTCACGTAGAGGGCGCAAGCCCATTTGGGAGAATGAGCACCTTTCAAGGGTCTTCCCTAAACCCTAAAGCCCCTAAACCCGATTTAGGGTTCAGGGTTTAGGGTTTAGGGTTTAGGATTAACCCCAAACCCTAAATCCTATAAACCCTAAACTTGAGACACCTTGTGCAGGCTGGCGCGCTGCCAAGCCTTTCTGCGAGGCTTCTCGGAACGACCTGGTCTTAGGGCTCAGAGTTCAGGGCATATAGGCTTGCATACGAAGCCATTATAGCCACCCTTATATCGCTTATATCAATATAGAAGCCATTTTGGGAACCATTATAGCAACCATCTATCGTATAGTTACCATTTATAGCATACGAAACCCCGAACCATACGCTCTTGGGCCTTGAAGGCCCGAACCTGAAGCTGAGCTCTACTTCTGGCCACCTTCGTTGAGTCAAGTTTGGGGTTTAGGGTATACGGTTCCTGAACCCTAAACCCTGAAGATCCCGGGTGTGCATGCATTTGGGCCGGAGCCGGGGCTTGGGGCGACGACTCGCCCTGAAAAACCAAGGTAATGCAAGCTAAGAGCTTTCACAGAGCGCGCAGAGCTAAACCTAAACCCTTAGCCCTCAGGGACATCGTGGCCGAATCTCCTTGGCACGAAGTCAAGCTCAAGAACCCGAAATCTTCAGCCGGAACGTCCTAAGCCCTCAAAGTAGACCCTCAGGGCCTATTTTTCTGCAGCCACCTACAGTTTGGGGTTCAGTGGTTTTCGGGGCTTTAGGTTTAAGGTTTAGGGGTTTTAGGGGCTTGACGGTTTAGGAATTTAGGGGGTTTATGGGTTTTGGGGTCTAGGCTATTAAGGATTTAGAGTTTTGGGTGAAGCATCCTCGCAACGAGAGCAGCAATGCCTCGCATGTCTTGCAAGCACGCAAGTGGCAAGTGACCAACAGTGGAGTTAACACACAATGAGCAAGAGCAGCAGCACCAGCACCACCAGCAGCAGCCCCAGCACCACCAGCATTGGCAGCAGCAGCAGCAGCAGCACCACCACCACCACCACCACCACCCACCACCCACCA